CTTATCTTCGATGACAAAAATTCTCATTTCTCATTCACGTTCTACGAACCAAATGAAATGTGGGAGATACTTAATGGTTCACATTACAAATACAAATTTGAAGTTTGGAATGTAACTTATCAACAACTGGTCTTCCAAATTCAGCTGAAGAGAAAGTCATTTTATATCATCATTTCGACATTTCTACCGGTGGTTATTTTATCAGTGCTGAATTTATTTTGTTTCGTGCTACCAATCGCTTCTGGTGAAAAGATGGGATTCTGCATGGCTATATTTCTAACCTTTGCAGTCTTTCTCACAATAATAAATGACACTTTGCCGAAATCCTCAGACAAAGTTCCATTCTGTACTATTTTCTTGATAACTCAGCTCCTGATTAGCGGATTGGTCGTTATATTGCAGGCTGTTACTCTATTTATCCACTTTCGTCATTCTGAAAAAAATGACGGGTCTTTGGGGAAAAGTTTCGAAACGGAACATGTCGATAAAAAGAACAGATTTTTATTAACTGGAGCATGCCTGGACAAAGTTTTCTTCAGTTTAATACTTGCTTGTGATATTCTTTCTGTGATCATCTATGCTGTAAACGTTAGATAATTTAGATAACATGACGAGTACACATGTGACAAAAAGTTGACATTAAAATGTGCAGAGAGTGTTCACTCCTCCCTGGCACCTGATCCCACCTCTGATGTTTTCGAGATCCGTGATTTCTCTGCTATCGATTTGCATTGTTTAAATGGATATAGAGTTTCAATACTGTTCTTTATCTCAATATTTCATTCATAAATTTATATGTACATAATCAATAATTGATTAATTAATCATCAAATGATTCAATCATTTAATAAGAAATACGTTTTTAGATGGTTTTATATCTCTTGTGTTTGAAAATCTGTGCTCTTGTGAAATGCGCCCCAAAATGAAACAATTACTTAATTGTGATAAGCTATGCATATCTATACTTATAAATTAATACATTTTGCAAATAAACTCCGAAACGGGTGCACAAGAGTTCTTATTTACTCCTCTAATATACTACACTACATACAATATGATGTCCTTAAACTATATTTTAATCAGATTTCGCTAGGATAGTAAGTATCGCACATAAAATTATAAGTCTACTTCAATTTTTCGAAAAGCCAGGAAATAGCATCAACGTGAGTATGTTGGCGTTTCCGGTTGGCAGATCTAAGCTACTGGCAAATTTTAACGAAACTGACAGCAAACAATCGATTATATTTATTTCATAAAATGTTATTACTGAATTATTTAATCAAAACTTGATTTAAATGATATAAAAGAAATAGTTGTGATAACCGATTAAAAAGCGAAAAGTACAAATTTTATTTTCGACTGTTAATTCCAGTAATAACAAACAAAGAAAGACATTTTATTGTTTATATTTATATCTGTTTAAATAATATTTGATTAAAAAGTTTAATTATTGTATTAATGATGCGAACACTGTATCATGGAACAGCCACTGATCAAGAAATCTGTACACGACATTTTCATGCAGTGATTAACATAGGTGTTTTAATCAAGAAATAATTGTAAATAATGTAAGTAACGGGTTATTTTATTAAATTATTTATCAACAAATGATGTTATATAAATTTAAAATAAATAAAAACAACAATTTGGTAAAAACGAGCAAAGCATGCTTGGAAATTATCAGAAACATATTGTTGCCGGGAACGGTATCACCCTCTTTATTAGAAACTAAGTAAAAAGTGTTTTGATGAATTGTGTTTCTGATTATTAAGGTCTTTCGTCTTCAGTGGAAGACCTTTCTGTTATTCTTAGGTTTTTTTTCCACAGTTTTTATTATTTTTTTTTTCTTACAGATTTTTTGCACGCGAGTTCACGAAAACGGCTGCCTTGATTTTCATGAAACTTTCAGGACTGATAGAACAATAAAATAAATCTAGACCTGTATTTTTTTTGTTTTGATGACGTCACTTCTGGTTTCGAGATTTCTGCATTTTAGTGAATTTTAAAGGGTTAGTTTGTCCGCCAGTTTTTTTTTAAACGGCTTAAGATAGAAACTTTAGTTTTTCACTAATGATAGAGCAATATATGTAGATATGACAAATGTATTTCATTTTAGGTTGCTATGATGCATAATATAAAGAATAAAATATGAGCATTAAAAAGGGGTAGATGTAAATGTTTATTGTTTCATGTATAATGTAATCATTAATAAAATAATTAGATCGATCATTGTTTATGGAACGCCATAGCTGCCTTATGTGGCTATTTCATATTATGCTGTGGTTATTTTATATGGAGATGGTGCTCTTTTATATGAAGATGCATGGTGCTCTATTATATTATGCTGTGGTTATTTTGTATAAACCGCAAAGCGGTTTATGAAGATGGTGCTCTATTAAAGCTGTGGTAAACTGCCATAAGTTATGTTATATCGTATAATTTTATATAAGTTGAAATATGCTGTGGTAATTTTCATGAAGATAATTTAATTTCAATGTAGACAATGAGGCAATTTTTCCATTTTTCCTTCGGAAAAAGGATTCAAATATCGCATATTTTAAAAGTTAACGGCAAGCGGATTTAAAATACGTTTTTGACGTAACTCATTGTGACGTAGGCAAGTTATGTTATACAAAATGGATAAGATCGTTGAACCAATCAAATGATGTGTTACAACTGAAATTAAATTATTCATGTATAATGTAATGTATGCCAAAATTAACTTTATGAAAGTTATTTTTGTATAATGTGTTCTACTCTTCATCTGCTGTGGAAATAGAATGTATATTGAATACATATGCTAAGTTTCATTTCGAAATTGAATTCAATTTTTCAAAATTTATGCGAATATGAACAAGGCGTATTGCATGATGAAGCATGTTGGCGCTTTATGGTGATACTATTAATAAGATGCACGTTGAACTGCTAGTACTCACAATGCAAAGAATTATATATTATTTGTTATTTTGTAAACTGATGGGCTGTATTATATACCGAAAGTTATATTCTGAATAAATTACTGTATTATTAATCCACAAATTTGTATTGTTTAACTGTAAGTTGTTTTAGATCGATCATTGTTCAATATATCAATTAAGTATTGTTTGGTTCATTTAAGTCCCTTCTATAGAATTCGTCAATTTCCAGTGGAGGGCTGCAAACTGACACTTGTACTCCCTCTTGTTTTGTGTATCATTAATTTGAAATGCCAACCTACCACACCCATTAAAAATTGATTCAAGTATTACGTCCTCTGTTGTATCTTCGTAACGTAGATACGTTTCAATATGGGGAGTCCAATTCCATTTACAGGATTTTTGATATATGTAAGTATGGACGTAATGTATCTAGCTAAGGAGGATCTAAACAGAACAGGTTCTGGTCAGGGTTTAATATCTTACTTTTTCTGAGCATCGTACATTGTATTTTGCATTAGTAAATTTTCTTTTAGACCCCCCTCTTCTCCCATTTGTTATTGCTTATGGAAGCCCCCATCCCAACCCACCCAATTTTTTTTAAATCTTCGGGGACTTAATTGAAGTCTTATGAATGTGAAGGATCATTAGGACTTTTTTTTATTTCACCTAAGTGCATGTGGTTAAGTTTTTTCTTTCAAAACCATCATGCAGGCACGTAGCATCGATTTTGAAAGTGTGTGTGGGGGGGGGGGGTGTCCAGCGCCAGAGAATTTCTTTTTTCTTACCTGAAAAAAGTTGACATGCAAAAAAAAAAACAAAAAAAAAAACAAAAAAAAAAAAAACAAAAAACAGTTGCCAAAACTCGAAAATCCTATTTTGTAGTGTGTGTGTGTGTGTGGGGGGGGGGGGTGTGTAGAGGCAAATTTTTCTCCATGCCAATTCCTTCTAATACCCATTTTCCCCCCATACAATACTACATTTTCTTCATATTACTTTACTTTACTATACAGTGGGGGGAGGGGGGGGAGCAGCCTCTCAATGAACATTTTCAATAGTAAAAGTAGTGTTGGGAAAATAAGTGTTGCTACGTGCCTAGTCCCCCCCACCTGTTGCTACGTGCCTGACCATGCATATAAATGGTATGCTTAGAGGTATGCTTAGAGGTACAAAACCATCTATACATATGGGTCAAGCAAGACTGAAGTGTGAGTCAATTCTATCTATATAATAACAGTACTTTGGGTAACGCGGGGGATCGCTATAAAGTATAATTATTTGAATGGAAAAGGGAAAAGACAACTTGATTTCTTCCATTGCATGGATATCCAGAAATTTTTCATCCTCTGTATGAAGGGGGGGGGGGTGAAGTATTTTGTGTTAAAAGGGGGGGGGGGGGGTTGAAGGCGAAAACAGTTAAAACGTAGTTGTACACATACATATAGTTAAATAACTCAATAGAATATCGATACAGGGTGGAGTATGGTTTTTGAAAGTGGGACGTTGATCAATCTGGGAAAAAATACTTGTATATACATTACCAGAAAGTTTTTGAAAAAGAAAATAAAATAAATCTTTATATATTACAACATTAGCCTTTCACCTTACATTTTCTATAGTAAAAACACAACAAAAAAATTGGAACTTTCTTATTGCTCTTGGTAGGACATTTTTGCAAATAAATTAGGGGGTGGGGGCCATATTGGGGGATGTAAAACCATATTGAATAACCCACCCTGTGGTATAATCCGCCTTTTTGAGTTGATACATCTTTTTTAATTTCTTCCAAAATATCGCATTGTGGATATTCTCCTCATCTTTTTAACCACACCATCCTCTGTATGAAGATTCGTGTTAAAAAAAAATATGCCCAAACGATTTTTTTTTTTTTTGGTGCGCGTAAACTTCGGAAGGGGGGGGTCCATAGGTGTAGAAATTTGTTAAGTCCTACATTTAACAATTGTTTAACTTGACAAAAGGGGATGTTTTAAACACATACATATATTCCAAAAGGAAGATTCATAAATCTCAACTCCCCTGCTAAATAGATTTATTCATTGATCGGGATCGAAATACTCACGTTTTAAAAAGAACAAAGATGCGCAACATTTATGCGCATAAATAATGTAATTAGATCAAAGGTGTCAACAGTAAACTACTATACGAGCAAAAAGAAAAAGAAAAGAAATATCGCTGACTTCTGCAGCACATACAGTTTTCATGGTTTGTATCATTAGAAAACGCATACAGTTTCGCAAAGAATGCAATCTTAATGTGTAAACTCGATGTTCAGGTTAGAACATGAGATGTATGTGAAGGCATAAATTATTTGGGTCAAAATGGGGAAGCCATATTGTGGAGATGTAAAAGGAAGCATATTGAATAACTTTTTATACCGTGTGTACAATGAAAAAATTTGCCTTTTTAATGTCCTGTATAATGATTTAAATGATTCAAAGTATTAAGAGTAAATTAATATATGACAAAGTTGGAATGAACTCTGCATAAATGATGATGTACATGTATATGACTATATCACGTGATTTTTGTCCTTTTGCATTGCATTCATGCTGAACATTTTCTTCATTGTGCTATTTTATTTTAGATTAATTGACTAGCTTGTCACGGTACAAATTCAGGATGAATTATCAAAAGACGTATATGAATCATATACACTCCAGTTCTTTGCTGTATCAGCTGGCCACAATGTGGAAAACACAGACCTTGTGTGATGCTATCATTCGGACTGGTAGTGTAATTACAAAAGTAAGTCTACAAAAAAAAAATGTGTGCAGCATTAATTAATAAAATATGGTCAAAATGTAGATTTATTAACTTTTATTAAAAGATCAGGTGTACAATCTCAAAAATTTTATAGCTTGAAGAAGGCATGGTTTAAAAATAGCTTAAGCTTATTAGAATTTTAAATGTTGTCTTTTTAAAAGCAAGAATTCTTTTATAAGAAATAATGAAAAAGTGGCATTTTTGTGGTTACCATATTTGTATGAATTGTAAGAAAAGCAACCGGATCAAAGCAAAAATGGATTGAACATGTGGGCAGTGAACCATGTGAACTCTTTTAAGCAAAGCTGGGTTTGCGGATTGTGAACACTTTTAAGTAAAATATGTATTTCCATTGTTTTGGTGGTAACTAAAACTACCAATATGCACTGCGACATGGATGGTGCAAATACTTCACATTACCGTAGTTACAACATGTACAATGTTTTTTTTTTTCAAGAAATAACGAATACAACATGCAACAGCTCCACATAGCCCCAACCTTTTGGAGATCTGATTGTTAATGCTTTGGAAGAAACACATTTTGAAAAATGTTTTTTTTTACATGCAGTTTTCAGAATAGTATAAATTTGACACATTTCCAAAATGTAACTTTTTAAACATGGTAAAAAATATATCATTAATCATGTTAGTAATTAATGAAAAATGTAATATAATACAGCTAATCAAGTTATTTTGAATAATCTTAAACCTGTATATAGCTTACACAAGTAATCAAGAGATTGCACTAGACCTGTAAGAATGGAAAAAAAGATTGGTTCTGGAAGTGTTTTTCACACCATTTTTAACTTAAAGCTATTCTGCGACATTAATTTTTGTGTTCAAAAAAATTGTCAACATTTGGTGTAATTGTTGACATGGTTAAAAGACCAGTCTAACCAGTAAGTGTCATTAGTTGATTATCAATACCAGAGGCTATTGTCATAATGGCAGATCATACTTAGAATATTTGTTAAAAAGTTGCTTAATAAAGTCAAAATATACCTGGATCAATTAATCTTGTAAAAGTTTGACATTAATATGATTATCATAATCATTCAGGGAAATTTGAATGATTTAATATTGTAAATTACTTAGAGAATTGTCCAAAATTAATAGTAATTCTTGTGTATGAAAAGACAGTTTGCAAGGTCTTAAGATGATATAAAGGAAAGTGAACTATTTTGTTTGATTAAAATTATTTTTAGCAGCAATCAAAATTTTCATGAATGCCATTTTGCCATCCAAGCAAATTATGTTAGGTTGAGTTAATGCATATGATGTAAATATTTGTGAAGTTAATTCTTTCTGAAACTAGACGTCAAGTTTCTCTATAATTTTTTAGGCTCATCGTGTTGTCTTGGTTGCTGCTTGTCCAATGCTTCAATCCATGGAAAATGCAGCAGCTGGTTCACATTTAGAGGTACGACTTGCTGCAGACATCAAACAAGATTCTGTCAACACCTTCCTGCAATATCTATACGAGGGATTCATGACACTAAATGAAGACAATTATAAAGACATTGAGAAAATTTCTAGACTTCTCCAAGTTGAAAATGCAATCAAATGTTGTGCAGACTTTATCAAGTGTATAAGTTCTTCATCAGCCAATCAGTATCGTTACAACTATCCAGATCAGCTGGAATTCAAACATGTGAGAACAACAGAGCTTCAAAAAGTTCAGGACAGGCACCCAAAGCGCAGCACAGACAGACCCATGAGTCCAGGCACCAAACGACCAAGATTTCAAAGACAGTCGAGTCCAATGTCAGACTCCAGAACTCATGATATGTCTGGGATGAAAGAGAGTTACACAGTGAATGATCCCTGGGACAGGGTGCCTAGGCTGGGATCACACAGTTCTACCCCCACATCCGTCCATGTTCCCAGTCATCAGCCAGGGGTCATTGATATCATAGAGGACAGTATCGAGTTACTACAGACTGAACCTCCTGGAAAACGGCCAGGGGATGACGGTAGAGAGCTTAGAAAGGTGCAGAGCACAGTGGGGGTGTCAGTAGCTAGCCAGAGAGACGCCCCCGCAGATGTTCAGATCGTCAGTGTACCTGGTGCTACAGATATTCCTAGTCAAAAATCAGCTTCAGAATCTGCCACATTCATTCCAAGTTCACCCGCCTCTTCAGATTCCTCCTCCCTCAAAGAGAGGCCACCTCACTACAGCCAGAGTTTTCAGCCCAAGCCAGATCTAGAAAAGTCCACTTCAGACCTGCCAGATCTGAGTTCCGATGTTGATGTGTCAGTCCAAAGACCCCGGCCGCCCGACACAGTAGTCGCTTCACCCTCCACTCAGCCATACCCTGTAGCAATGACAGCATCTTCTCGGCCAACACCTCCCAGTTTCCAGCAGAAATCCTTTGCAGCAGGCAGTGCCATGCAAGCAGAGTCTATATCTCCTAGTACAGTTCAGAGAGGCCCCAAACCACACACTATCAGCAGGGTGGAAAGCACAGAGAAGTCCTCTCCCATGGAAAGATCACAAGACACAGGGTAAGTCAAGTTACTGATGATTTCATTAGTAAGGTTTTGTTTATTGTAAATGTATTATGTAAAAATTGTTTGACACTCTCTTTTAATCATTTATTGTTTTTTCTTTACAATCTACAATAACAATTTTCTTTAGGCCCTATGGTATTATTTCTTACAGTTATCAAGCTCCAAACAGACTGTCACCAGATATAAGCATAGTGAAAGTGGAGAATGAAGTGGGGGCAGAAGAGACAGGGATGTTAGACATGTATGTGGCTAATGCAGGGATGGGTGGGGCCGGCCCCACCCACGGGCAAAATGAGGAGGAACAGAGCGACTTTGACGTTGAGGAACCCCCAGGAGATCTACAGAGAGAGGAACTGTCCAACGAAAGCGGCAACATGAGTATGGACCAAAGCGGGAACTGGTACATGGGAAACTTTAGAGGTTAGTCTCTTTAGGTTGTTGACATTGTAGCATTAAAAAGGGATTTGACATGGTTAAGCTGGAAAGTTTTAAGCTATTACATAATTGAAGTGGAAAATTAATGGAGGAAAGCATTTTGAATAAATACGAGTAATATTCACGTAATTTTAATAGTTTAAATTTTAAAATAATTTCCGAATGTCAAATCCCTTTCTGCTATTTTTATGTGTTTGAAAGATAACAATTTTATGAAGCACCAGTGTCAGAGAAATTTTTATCTTTCAGCATATTTATCAATGAACATTTTAAATGTGACTCTTTAAAACAATCAGAGATGCACAGAGTATTATCTGGTAAAGGTCTTTCCAGGTTAAGGGTAATTATTCTGTTAACAAGTAGAATGGGATCTTTAAGGCAACATTCTCAGACCCCGTTTTCTACTCTACTTTTAGGTCCCCCAATCAGTAGTCTAAGTCCTGGCAGTGCTACTAGATTCCCTCCCCTGACACCTGGTTCACGAGCATTAAGAACCATGAATCAGGAGACCTATGATACACTCCTTAGTCTTGCACTGGGCACATTCAAGATCCCCATTAAACAGAGGTCTAGAATACAGAAAAATGCTGTCATTCAGTACTGGAGAAACAAGTCCCACCTCTCCACACAGTTGATAGAGGGCAAATACGTGTTGTGTTTCAATGACAGACCTATAGCTCCAAGGACTGATTTTAATGAAAAAAATGGCAATTTTTATTAGGCTATCTCAGGATCTGCTTGTACAGGAGAGCTTTTTAAAAAAAGTTTTATACTTTGTATTTGAGATAATAAAAGCAGAAAAGAAAAAAGTTCTATCTCTGATTGTTTTACTGAGTCTTTTTATTTGCAACTGTTCAGTTAATTTGAAAATAGCTTTATTGAAATGCAGAAAAAATTGTTACCAATGATTCATTTTGCTCCATGACTTTCTCAGGGATCAATTTTAATGTAATATTTTAAATGAAAATTTGAAAGGATGCAGGTATTTCATATTCTTGGAAAATAATTCACAGTCTCTTGGAAAATATAATTTCTTTTTATCAAGAAATTGTAAAATCATGGAGCAAAATGTAGCATAATTTTTCAGTTACTATTTCTTATTCAAAGAAAGACTTGTTAAGGAGGTGGAGAAAACAGTTTCACAAACAAATGAGTAAAATTTTGATGTATCTTACAAATTGTCATCAAGGTTCAAAATAATTCACAATAAAACACTCCTTGCAAGTATTTCTTTGCATTTAAAAATCTGACCATTTCCTTTGAAGTCAGGTGCATGTGAATAGACAAATGCAGGCCTGGAAACAAATTGAAAAATATATTACAGTTTTTTTTTGTTGGATAATTTAAAGATTCTTCAATATGCCTCTGTGAGTCATGGAAATGGTCAGATAAAACTTAATGCATTGCACATCAAATAGGCCCTAAGTCTTAGGCATCCTTTGCTCTTCCCAGTTTGTTAGGCTGGTTGATAGTTGAGATAGGAAAGAAACTGTTGTGGTAACAAAGGAATAATGGTTATATTGTATTGTGTGATAGGAAAATCTGTTCATAAACTTGCTAATGGGTTAATGGTTATCTTGTATGGTGTGATAGGAAAAATCTGTTGTATTTCCAGAGGAACAATTAGGTCCTGGGTTAGTTGATAAAAATTTCTTTGGTAGGTTAGGCATTTGTCTACAACATTTGGATATTGATAATTTGTGGATAGTATTGATCAGTTTTAGGTTTGAAACAAATGGCATTTTTGTTGTTGGCAATTGGATGTTATGATATATGTAGGATTTGAGCTCAGATCCTTGGCTCCTTGTATCAGTTGCGTGAAATGCTGAATATTTGGATGTTTGCCTTTAACGAAACATTTAACCTGGCTGTTTTATGGAAGGAATAATTTAAATTCATGAACTATGTCAGAAGATGTTTGAAGATTTTGTTTAATGAAAAGAAAAGAATCCGTTGAAAAAGAAAGTTGTGATTTTTCAAATGGAAATAAGCCTGGGAAAAGCATTGGATGAAGTTGAAAGTGTACACTATTGCTTGAGTATTGGGGCTTCTTGAAAATTTCCTCAATGACACAATGATCAATTAACGAGAACATGCAACCTTGCCAAGGTAAGTTTATATCCGAGTGCAGGGAAAACCAAGAGTGTTGCAGAGAGATTGACAAAAGTATCTGAAAATATTTCAGAAGTGTTTTGTAAGGCATATAGTGATTAAAAATATGTGTATGTTATTTATCTTCAAATGTACAATTTCTATGTAAAATATCATTTACTTTTAAATAAATTTTTAAAAACCTTAATCTTTTGTTTGTTATTTTTGTACATGCTGTACTAGAAGAAATGTATGAGCAGTGTTGAGAAAATCAAATTTATATCTATTGTATTTAAATTTGATTGAATGAAGATGAGACTTGAGTTTGCCTCATAGAGGTAATAAAGATTTCAAGCACTAAAATAGTGAATGCATCCTGTAAAGTTTTCACTTCGGAAAGCTTTCACGTCCATGGAGTTTATATTTATTTTGATGAACGCGAGGAAGAAAGGAACCCAACTCTGTGTAAACTGTAAATGGTAAGTTTCTTTTAGATTTTATCTGAATGAATAAAAACTTTACAGTGAAACATTCATTGTTTTAGTTTATTTATTTTAACTTTACTGTTACAAGATGCAAGTGTTTGATCTAAAGGATGCATAACTTTTTCAGAAATAAATTTACAAGGACATGCTGACATGCCACGGCCTGGAGTGTGGGATGTCAACGAAGCTCGTAATTACGGGGTAAGGATACATTTTCATCTACTTTATTTAAATTATAAAAAATTAAAATGAAGTGACTACAACAAAAAAAAATTGATACAAAAATGTTTTCTTTCTTAACAGATGGTAGAGCTTGCTCCTAATACCTCAGTCTGTTTGTACCAGAAACAATACGAGATAGCCATGAATAAAATCAAGTTTAATGAGAAGACCCAGTCCCGAGATGGTACTCCTGCTGCCCGGTATCTATTGAGTACATTCTACAGTAAATCTGAACTCGTTAATGCCACCATCAGAAATACAGACTCGGACTGCAATGTTTACCAGGGATATGTTCCTCTAAACAAGTCCATCATATATGCCATTGAAGGTTGGTACATAATTATTATAAAATATTTAGTTCACTCATTGTGATAAAAAAAAAAACTAATTAAAAAAAGAAATCGATAGAAATATGATGGACAAAACTTTTTGAACAAAACTTTCAGTATTAAAAAAGAGTACGATAGATTTTAAAACCAGAATTAATATTGCAGAGTTTTGTACAAAATATTCGGATACAAGACTGACAACAATTCACCAAACTCTGGGGAGCAAGATAACATCTGCTAGAGCTAAGAGAACTAGAGTGAGAAAAGATTTTACTTAGGGAACTCATTAAGGTAGGTCATCCCTCAGGGTCCAGTTTTCACAGTTGTTTGATTAATAGAGATATATTGAAAATGTCATTCTAATACACATCCTTTAAATTAAAGAATTTTTTACAATTTTTTTTCATCAATTCAAATACAATTTTTTTATGTTAACTAAATGAATAAAAATTTTCTTTAGTTTGAAAAAAAATTTTACTCAAATGAAAAAAATATAATGATGGTTACTTTCTGATTTATGATAAATTATACCAATGGATTATCATTAAACCAAAGTCTCAATTGCTGTAATCGATTGAAAATGCAAAATGGTTTTAAAAGAAGATGAATGGTAAAGATAGACTTTGTTATGCTTTTGATTTTTGAACATAACAAAGTCTACTTCCCCTTGTCTGAGGGATGATCTACCTTAATGAAAGGGTTTTTTCCAGGGTTTAAAGTAATGTTATACAGTCAGTCATATTGAGAGTTTAGGGTTAAAGTAATGAAAACATCTTTGCCTTCCTTCATAATAAAAACAAAAAATCTAATTTTGATCCATAGTGATGTGAGCAGTGAATTTTCAGTTGATTATTGATTTTATTTCTACAAGGATTTAATATAAGATACTTTTTTTTAAAATTTCAGTGTTTTGTTTCCAACATTCTGATTCTACAATGGCAGAGACCCATTCAGCCTTGGGAAGGAAAATAACTGCTTATCGGACATTTGCCAGGAACAGGATTTCCTGCAGAAGAAAGACTAATCTGTGAATGTTGTTGATGCTGGATTATCATCATTTCAATTTATGCATTGAACCTCAGATTTTTATTGAATTAAAAGAGTAAATGGTCATTGGGTGAGATAGAAGGATGTAGGAATGATATCCTCTTACACATGTAAAGTACCAGGAAAAATGTTTTTTTTTTATTTCTGCTGGATCAGGTTATTGTAAACTTGTTTAGAAAAGATCTTTGAATAAATTTTAAGATCAACAGGATTCTATTGTGATCAGTAATATAACTCTGAGAGTTTTACCTGAAAATCAAGAGTAAGCCATTGTACTAAGATTTTAATAAAACTGTTTTTCTCAAGCTTGTATAGTAATCTTTTCTTTTAATTGAGCATTTTAATCCTCTAAAGAAATAATGAACAAGTGCTTTTGTCTTAAGTTTTTATAAAACCAGGCTTTAATAAAATGTTATGATCTGCAACACAGATCATATAACCATGATAATGTGTGATAGAAAAATGTTACTGGGTTGTTTGTCCTTGATTTAAATTAAGGCCCTGTGTATTATTCAATTCATTAAACAAAATCATGGTTCTTTGATATTTTTGTATGGAAAATGTCTTTTTTCTCTACTAGTAAGACTAAGTTTATTTTTCACAGGAAATTTAATATATAGATATGATGATAAACCTGTTTTTTTTTTTAAGTTTTAATCATTTGAAGAGGTAGATCATTAGGAATGTATCTATTGTTTGATTGACTGTATGATGTATAAATGTCCCATTCAAGAATTTAACACTCTTATCATGCTTATAAGTATGTCTCCATATGAAGGTGATTTTGTTCAAATACAGAGCACTCACGACC